CAAAATTTATTCCCTCTTATCCAGGCAGGCAGCAATTTATGGGTTTTTTAGGAGGGTGAAAATGGCCGTGGGATGTTCCAATGTTTATGGGCCGCTAAATTTGATTTATAGGGAATTATCAGCACTGCTGTTGGGAAGGGTCCAGGGAGCTTAATATAATTTGCATTGATGAGATTAATATCAATTAAAAGCTGCCAGGTTTGTGGAGCACAGCTGAGGCCTGATTCCCACCGACTCCAATCCTGGCAGGTGAAGGGCATTTTCCTTTGCAGATGTTTGACCTCAAACCCCACAAATCCCGAGGGGTTTGATTGTTTCTTTCTGGTCCCAGCCCCAGAAACCCCAGCTCTGCTTGTGCTCCCCTCATTTAAGGGGACGGAATTCCAGGGAAGGATCCAGGATGGACACGGATTCCATGGGGTGGGGCAGGGGCAGTCTCGGGATGTTCTGCTCTGCTCCGAGCCGGGGGAAGGGGCAGAAGGGGCTCTGTAGCTCTCGATCCTCGTGGTGTTTCAGTGCCCTCTTGTGCCCAAATGTATGGAGGGGCTGAGCCTGGGATGCATCTCCTCGGTGGTTTTGAGAAAGGGGAAGGAGCTTTTCCATTGGGCCCAACCCCCTTAGCATGATCCTGACACTCCTGAAGATGTAAAGCCCCACAGAAGCTCCCCTGGCAGAGTGAGTGCAGCTTCCCAGCACAGGGTACCCAGGATCTGGGGCATTAGCAGGTGATTAAAAGTTCCCCTGCTGCTTCTTTTCCCTTCAAAACATTTTGGCTTAGCTGGAAAAGCCATGCCAGTTCTGTCCCATGGTACCAAATATCACCCACCCTCTAAACCCTGCTCTGTCCCCTGACCCAGGGGATGGAGGGGACGAGGAGGGGCTGTCCCCACTCTCCAGGTAACATAACCCATCCTGAGCCTAGCACACGTGGATGGAGTCTGGGAGGCTCCAGAGCCACCCTGGAGGCTTCTGGTGCCCAGGGACAGCCCTGTGGGGAGACACAAACTCAAAGGGATTCAGGAAATTAATTCTCAGCATCCCTTTGACTGTCCCTGACAGGAAAGCCTTCCCTGCCCTGGGGAATAATTTAAAACCTGGTTGGTAACTCAAAAGTTTTATCGTGTGCCTTGTGTGTCCCAGCTTGCATCGGCTGCAGCTGGGATAGGCAAGGGCTGGATGGAGATTGTCCAGCAGCCAGGCTGGGGATGGATGAAAAGCAAGGAATTTCCTTCCCAAATGTGGAGCACACAAGCCCAGGTGAGGGGAGTGACATGCTCTGAACTTGGAATCTGCTCCACATCACTGTAAAAATGGAATGGTTTGGGCTGGAAGAGATTGAAACCCACCCAGTGCCACCCCTGCCATGGGCAGGGACACCCTTCCACTGTCCCAGGCTGCTCCAAGCCCTGTCCAACCTGGCCTTGGACACTGCCAGGGATCCAGGGGCAGTCACAGCTGCTCTGGGAATTCCATCCCAGCCCCTCCCCACTCTCCCAGCCAGGAATTCCTCCCCAATATTCCATCCATCCCTCCCCTCTGGCAGTGGGAGCCATTCCCTGTGTCCTGTCCCTCCATCCCTTGTCCAAAGCCCCTCTCCAGGTTTCAGCTCAAGCTGTGGAGCCCTGAAATGTCAATGGGCACCACAAAGCCACTTGTCCCACTGGGAGGGGACACTGTCCCTGGAGATGTCACCCCTCCAGAAGGGAAAACCAGGAATTTGTCCATGGATTCATGGAGCTGTCCTGGAAGCAATGAGGTGATGGATGGCCAAGATCTCAGTGTGGAATATCCCTCCCACAAACCTCTCCACTGGTCAGGACCCAGAGCCATCTCAGCCCTTTATCCCCCAAAACCTAATGCTTCTAATGCTTTCCTGATGTAACTGGGTGGTGTTTGCACCACTTAGTTAGGGGTTTGTCTGAAGTTTCTTTTGTCTTCACTCAGAGCCAGGATTAGACATGAAGGAGATGAATTTTCTCCTGTTTGGATTTGGTTGTTTATTAAATCTTATCTAAAGTACAGAGAGTTCAGCAACACTTCCAGCTACCAGCTAAAAGTGAGCAAAATGGAGGTGAACTGAGCTGATTGCAAGGTCTTTTAAAGCTAAACAATCCAATAGAGAACTAACACCTGTATTATTTATACTTTTGACCCAATAACCAAACTCCTGTGACCTGTAGTGCAGCACTAACTGTCCAACCAGAAACTACTGCCTGAAACCAGGAAGAAGGAACAAAAAGGAGACACCATCCAAATTCCTCCATCTTTTCCCATACCTATCTCTATATTACAAAACCCTAAAATTTAAAAAACCCTTGACCATGTGAAATCACACACTTTTATTTAACTGTACATCCGTGATTTTAACTCCATCATTCAAATTTGGAACCCTTCTCCAAGACCTCAGGTTACAAGCAGTGTTCTCCTGGGGGTCAGTGCCAGAAAGCACAGAAAGCTCAAAATCCCAGGTTTCTGGGATCCAACATCCTGGGAGCCACTGGATCCTGGCAAGGGGCTCAGCTCATGGAGAGACATCCAACGCTTGTGCCCATGCAGCTGCTCCAAGAAATAAAGCCTGACATGGAAGCTGCAGAGCCCAGGCTGTGTTGGTGCTTCCATAGCGTCCCTCAATCCTCCCTCTGGAGCACAGCTTTGTTTGGAATCTCTGCAGCTGCCCTGGCCCAGAGCTCTGGGCCCTTCCTTGGCAGGATCAGGGCATCACCAAACAATCATGAGCCTGCTGTTTTCTTCCTCCACCATCTGGGACAGTTTTCCAAGCCCTAGGAGAGCTCTTGTGGAATATCCCCCTTCCATCCCCAAGGTATGGAGTAGCCACAGGTATGGATTTGAAATTACCTCAAAAAGAGAGATTTAAATGAAAAATATGCACAGGATGCTCCTGGTTTTCCATCTGGAGCGGAGGATTCCCTGGTCCCTGCAGACAGCAAAGCACCTTCCCAGGGAAACATTGAACCTCACCTGTGCTGATTAACAGGGTCTGGTTAATTGAGTTTCAGCCTAATGGTAGAGAAGAAGGCAGAGTAATCACCTTTAACCACCAGAAAAATGATCCTTTCATCAGCATCTTCCGGGTTTATCCTGAGCTGGCACCTGCTGGATGCTGGGAAAGTTCCTCATTTCCAGAGGAATTCCACCAAAATAATTTATTGCTGGGGTCTGCACTTCTTGGAAAATGTCCCAGGAGGAGGAGACTGAAACCGGCACCTGAGTTAGGGGAGGGGCTGGAACCTGGTGTTCCTGGGAGCTCCAGAGGCTGCAGGGAGGGAAAATGGGAAGGAAGCTTTTTCCAAAGTGCCTGATGACCCCTGGAAGTGGAGTGGAGCAGGCAGGTGCTGCAACTGCAAAGACGTCCCTGCTGAGGACTGGGAATAGTCCCAGAGGAGTTTTCCTGCTGGGAAAATGGAGCTGTGGTTCTTTGGGAAGCTTTGCCCTGGGCAAGGGAATCTCCTGCTGACAGCAGCATTTGGGATGGAGCAGTTCCCACTCTGGCAGGGGCAGGAAAACTGAGGAGAGAGGCAAGAAAGCAACTTCCTGAAGGTCATTCAGCCAGGCAGGGATGGGAGGAGGATGTCCCTGGGGTGTCCCCAAGCCCCGAGACTTTCCATGGGCTCAGGTAAGACAATAGGAATGACAACGAAGCTGGCAAAGCAATAAACCCCTAATCTTCACAATCCCTGCCTGATTTCCCTGGAATCCCATCCTTTCTGCATCCCAGAAGGATGGCTGGGCCCTGCATGGAGAGAGAAGAGAGAGAGAAATCAGGCTCAGCTCAAGCCTTGTCCTTGCCCACCTGGTTTCCAGTTTATGCTTTGGAAGCATTGCTTCCATTTCCATAAAAGCAAAAAATCCATGAGGAGAGGCTTCTCCAGTTTTTATTTGTTTTCTTACCTAGAAGTGGGAAAAGGAGCTCTGGGTCCCAGAAAATGGTTTTCCTATGGGAAAGGGAAGCAGTGCCCAGCACAGCCCTCTTTGAAGGAAGCAGGAAAAGCATCTCAAGTGACTGAAGAGCAGAGCCCTGTGTGTCCTCCAGGGAATGAACTCTTGTCTTCAGTGCTATCCCACAGAGCCACCAGGAACGAGACTGGGACAAATCCCACTGAGGGTTTGAGCCCTGTAAGGGAGAAATGAGCCTTTCCAACCTTTCATATGCAGGGGTTCTGCCCAGGGGAAGGTTTACAGTGACACCCACGATGGGAAGAGGCTCAGCTGTCACCTGCAGCTGGGCTTTGCCTGTGCCCTTTGCCTGGGATGTTGTGGTGAAGCCACTGCAGGGGAATGTCACTGTCACTTCTCCTGCCCATGCTGGGGCCATCACTGCACGGACAGGGACACAGACTGCCCCAAAATCCTAGAAACCTCCCCAAAACCATGGGAAAACTTGCTGGGATGAGAGACAGCAATTCTACCTGCAGTGAGGGTGTGATGCCAGCCTGAGGATGTACTCTGCAGGTGAGCAATTCCCGGGCACAGAGTGAGCCCTGAGCAACTCGGAGTGCCCTGTGGCAGCAGCCAGAAACTCCAGCCTTTCCCAGGATTTCACTGAGGGTTACCAGCGGCTCAAATCGCCCCGGGACAGGGTTTCGTTGCGTTTATTGAGGTGTCAGCCCTTCTAAAGGGTTTTCATGATGGTTCAAGCCCGCTGTGGGAGCGTCCGGGTGCAGCTGCAGAGCAGGAGGGTTTGGAAACACGGGCCTGAACCCTCATTCCATGCAAGTCCCCGCCAGGACTGCGGAATGTAGCGGGAATTTAACGGGAATGTAGCTGGAATTTAACGGGAATGTAGCGGAAATTTAAGGGGAATTTGGGGGATTTCGGGGCTTTTGCTCCGTCCCGACCGCGGAGCGCGCCCTGCAGCGCCCCCTGGCGGCCGCACCGCGGAACAGCTGAGACAGCCGGGACCAAGGGGACCCCAGAGACCCCCGGGACAGCC